ATAAAATTATACCAGTATAGCATTGCATTACACCAATATCACATAGTATTACACCAGCTTAACATTGTATTATACCAATATATGCTTGCATATCCGCAAATAAGTCGTTTTAATCAAATTGCAAAAATAAATAAACTCTAATAATAGAATATCAGTTTTGATAAACTTGCATAGATACATCAATAAAAGGATCCATATTTCACTGTAGTCTATGAACAACACTAGAGAGTCCACTAGTTTTGCTTTACACCGAAACTTCCCCTTAATGTCGTTTTGGTTATAGCTCTAACGCAAATGGGCCAGGACACGCTCGTTGACTAGGTACATGTAGCTAAGTTGGTTTGGCGAATGGATAACAAGTTGTGGTCTTGGGTTCGAATCATAATCTAACCCGATTCACTCAGAACACTGTTGCGGATGATATTTTGTTCATTACATGAACATTTTATTTTTATTTTTTTAACAAACACCCCAAAGGCTTGGTTTTCATATATCTTTTTACAGTGGTACGGGGATCCTTACAATACATCACATAGAAAGGTACAGAACACTAACCTCAGTTAAATAGTTTCCTAGGTAAGGGAATTTCAAGAAACTGGGATCGGACGTATCTCGGGGTAATTTGAATTTTAGAAAGCGTGGAAGTTGTAAATACGAATGATCTTGCTATATTTATAAATGCAGTGATCTAATCCTATGATTACCGAGCATGGTTGTTTTTTTTACATTTTTCTGTAAACTCTTTATTGAGTCATATGTACTTCAAACATATCAAAGCTATGTGAGTTATTTGTATGAGATCATAACTGCCATGATGATCGTGACGTCATCACATTAGTGACGTAGTAATCATACATCATACTTGAAAAGCTATAAAACGATGTTCATTTTAAAGTATCAAGCGATTATAAAATCTATCAAAAAATATAAAAACAAGTATTTGACTAATGGTCCCATAATTCCGGACAGGGTTGCAGAAATAATCATCAAACGCACTTTTGCGCGAAATAATGTTATGTCTGCACCCTGTTTAGAATGAATTGATGATGCAAATATCGACTTTATTATAAAAGGACAAACACTATTTGGATCTGACCAATCTTCAATAGGTTCTCTGCTTAATTCAATTCTTTATTTGTTTAACGAGGATTACGAACAGCCCAAGTGCTACGATCGATCGAGTCGCTTTCTCAAAATGCCCTCTGTGTAAAATAAAACAAAACAAAAACACGACAATAATCTGGATAATGATTATATGTTTTGGCATGTTTAACATGTTTATGGCGCGCATATTAATAGACCGTTAGTAAATAAGATAAACAAAACAATTGAACAGGTACTTTACTGGACGTAATATTGGCGCCAGGTTCGGGTAAATGACGAGTAGCTAGTTGCCTTTTTTCAAACACCTATTTTCGCGGCAGATATACCAAAAATTAATTTCCTATTTATAAAGCTGTATTTCATTCATACAGATTGCTTTGTTATCTATATCAACAAAGAATTTTGTTCAATATATATGTACACGTAATTAGATTAGTTATCTAAGTCCGTGATATGTACATGTACTACTGCAGTACAGCACTAACCAAACCAACCAGACAACTTCAGGTAAATATAAAATCGGGACTTCCGGAAAATATAACATCCGGAACGAAATATACTCGTGTACACAACTAACAAAACAACCAGACAACTCCCGGAAACAAATATAAAATCCGGAATGAAGAAAAGTGGATTTTTATGGTACGCGTTAAAAATAACTCAAGCTGCCCTCATTATTACACGTGTTCCTGTTATTTCTAATATGGCAAACATATAATAAAGCTCTCCGGAATTCGATCATAAAACATACTTTACCTCTACAACTCACGAAAACAGACGGCTTTACTCATGTAAATAATTATCGCGTTATTTAAAGATCTCAATCTTTCCAAGAATTTAAATACTCCCTAATGCATCATATTGGAAGTGTAATAGGTCTGATGCGAAGTGAACGTGCTTCCGCTGGGGATCGAACCAGCGACCGTATATCTTCTTCTCCCACGCTTTACCACTGAGCTGACGGATCCCCACGACACCATGTACAATACACATCTTTTACACTACTCCCCACTTTTTCATTTTTCCCATGCTTGTGGATGATTCAGAAAATAATACATACGCTGTTTTCCACTGCGTGATTTGTAAGAGGCGACTAATGTGAGCACCCTCTGCAGAATCGGGGATTTGCTTTTTAGGTATTGGGATCCTTTGTTTTCTTCTTTCGAACATATCTTGTTGGCCTTAAATGACAAAATATCGCTTTTGGCTTAAGTATCTACCGTGCGGCAAGTCGAGAAAAGTTATGAGTTTTGTTCCTTGACCGAAAGACAGAAATGCTATGGAGATATCACTAACAGACAATTAGCCTAAGGTATATGTAACATTCACAACGACTTGTTTGTATACTCAATGGTTTGGTTACAGTTACAGCATGATTGTGATGACATTTTGTATTATGCTATCTTAAACAATAAATAGGTATTTCAATAGCTTCCTAAAACTGCATCGATCCCTTTTAGTATCATCTTTTCGTAAATACATTAGCAACTATGCCTGTGAATCGTCAGGTACTTATAAATAACCCAATCTTTGGGTTTACATGAAGTTACACCCCATTAAAGTGTTTGAAATGATGTCGATATGTTACGTGGTGTAACTTCAAAGCGAAGTTTGAAGTTACCTTTAGTATTTGGACGTTAAAGATATAGCAGTGTCTCTGTAAATTGTTATTCAAACATAAAAACTGTACAATTGTTCTGTCAGATTTATTTGTTATTAGGCGTTTGCACGAAAGATTCCGTCTGTAAGTAAAAAAGGAAACGGGGTCGAGAGTTTAGAGTGGAGTCCAGAGTCGTTAATTAGAAGGGAGCAACACGTGCACACAGGGACAAGACGTGTTTGGAATATTTAGTGGAGGACAACGTTTTTGAGATAAAGCACGTGCAGGAAAAAGTCATCAGAGCGCTAATGTTCCAAGACGTTGTGACGTTGAGGATTTGTACTCGAAAGAAGTGAACCGTTGATAAGCAATATATCACTTGTATGCAGCTGAAGCAGGTTTCGACAGAGTTTCAGGGAAGATGTCGACGAGGTGAAACTATTAGGTAGTCAAACCGGCGGGGGAGAAAGACGGGACAGAGGGGCAGACGGGAAAAAGGAGACATCACTTAAAGACAGAAGTGACTGGCAGATACTACAAATACATGTACCTAGGGAAGAACTGCTGAAAGGAAGAAGTAAGTAAGAGAAGAAAAGACAAAAGTTCCAAAAGACGCAACTGTGGCAGCAGCTCAACTTTAATTTCTTCTTTGATCCCGTTAAGAAGACACATTCGAAAATCCCCTATTATGTGGTGGGGGTACCACATAAATTCCCGCCAACGATCTTTAAATTTGTAATGCTTCGAAACCCGCTTGGTGATGAGACACGTTTTATTGTCGTGACGATAGAGACAATATGTAGGCACAGCCTAGTGTATTCATATATCCAAATGCTATTAATACAGTTAGGAATGACATTGTTCCCTCCCCCCTACAGCTCTATACAACGTCTAAGTCTATTCCAGTATACTGTATTGAAGATGAGGAGATAAACGCACGCATTTATATCAAATAGTGAAATATGAAGCGCTCAATATATATATTTTCCTTTTTCATTCCTCTCTTATTCACATTTCTTATATTTTCATACCGTTTGTTGTTCGTTTTTGCGACCATGGCTATAACGATGAGGTATTAGCGTAATATGTTACTATGTGTAGACCTGCTGCTAATATATTCAGGAATTGTTGTTATTCAACATTACAGAAAAAGTGTAAAAATATATCAACAAAATCTGTAACGATTTGGTTTGATGGTCACGCGCATGTAAAATATAATATACATTAACACAATTTTAACACGTCGAAACTTGTAAGCCTCGTTTTCAGTTTGTGGACATTCTGGTTATTTATACAGCAATATTACCACCAAACACTGTTATCAGAATGACTATGGCGAACCCAATGAGAAGGCCAAGATTCTGTAGGACAAACACGACGCGAGTACTGTCCTGTCCTATGTTTTCTGCTTGATTGGCCTGGTTATTCATTTCTGGAATCTACAAAAAATAAAAACAATATTTCATTGCCGTGGTAGGTAAATGTACTAACAGATATATGTTTACAGGGAAATCAGGATCGGTCATTATTATTTATTGAGTAAAGGTTAAGAGTCCAAGCGCAATGAGTTAAATAGAGTTTCAATTTTGGCATTTTTTCTGATTTGGCGTTACTTGCCCACTTAATTTGCGAGGAGTTATTTACAATGCAAATATTTATCATAATTTCTCTAAGAAAAGAAAACACAAACCAAACAAAAATGTATTATATTAACGATTAAAAAATCGCCCTTATCCGCTTCGGCGCTTCGATCCTCTTAATTATAGACAGGAAGGGGTTTTCAGCGCCCTTTCGTTTCTTTGCATTGATATAGATGGAAAAATTAATTAAACAGGAATATATTTTGTTCAATGCTTGTATCAATTAGAAAAATGCGTTGGGGATTTCTCTACGTTGAACACAAGGTATGATAACATCTCTGCTACTTACCATATCAGCAAGGGCTATATAAACAAAGAGGCCCCCAGCAAAGGCAAAAATGTATGTGTTTGCGTCCGTGTTCTCTCCAACGACGACCCCTATTATGAGGCCCATGTATATCGTCACAGCAGCCAGAAAGTTGAGGAATAAAGCTCGTTTGATTGTCATTCCAGAATGCAAGAGAATGGCTATATCACCTGTTGAATATATATATTATACATTTATCACATGGCAAAAACAAATAAAAAGATGTATTATGATTCTTCTCATTAGTGTGTCTTGTGATTTTGTGGTCACTTACCGAGATCTCGATGATTTGAGGACGTGATATTAGTTTATTTGACTTAGATTGACATTGCGGATGTCATCGTAGAATCAAAAGACGTCTATTTTTCAGGAACACCTGGTCTTCTTCTCCTCGTACTTTTTAAAAGGGTTCCATCTAAATATTTCCTTTGTTCATGTTTTACCGAAGTTTTATCGATTTTTATGTTGACATTTTATAGTTGTTTTATGTAGAATAAATTATTATGTCTGTTTCTGTCTAAATGAAAAATTTCCTCTTAATACAAATACATGTACATAAATAAAGTGCCTTTCCTTGTTTATTTGGAAAATTTCTTTTTTTTATTACAAATACATGTATATTTGGAAAAAAAATCATGGAAAAATGAGTGTT